GCCACTAGTGCCGTAAAAACTAAATAAATAAATAAAAAGGGGCTTTGATGTGTTTGTTTTACTAAAGATGAGGATCATAAATGTGAGATAAACCAAACTAACCAGTCAGTCAGACTATTGGCTGCAGCTGCAGGAGGAAACAGACTCAGATCAAATGATCCAGAATGATTGAATCTCCTCATAAGGAGCTGATCTGGTTCAGCGGTTCTCCAGGATCAACCAGGTTCATCTAAAGATGCTTCTAGAACTGATTGGAGACTTTAAGCTTATATCTGCAGATAGTTAGTTATTGTCAGTAGAGTTAGAAGTAGTTTTTCTGTTTTATGGTTGTGATCTATGAGCATAGACTTCTAGGCTTAGATCTACTTTTCTATCACTCCGTTTGGATCTATGAAAGTTCCTCATTCTAGAAAATAAGATGCAGGATCTGGATGATCTGAGAATGATGGAGGAAGAGATAATCTGTTTAATCTGCATTTATTAGCTGCTTTTTACTTTTAGCTCCAAATATCGCGGCAAATAGCCTTTTTTGGATTTAATAAGTTGAGATAAAAACAATAATAATAATAATAATCATTATAATAATCATAATATCTATGATGAGATTCTATGTGTTTGGAGGGATTTAGACTGTTTTATGTCCCAGTTTTAGATCAGTGTTCCATTGATAGAGGAGGAGAGGAAGAAGAATGAATGAGAGGAAAAGAGGAAGAATGATGGAGAGAAGATTAAAACAGAAAACAGGCAGGAGTCAGATGGAAAGAAAAGAAGATGGAGGAGACAGGATGAGCAGATGGCTCCAATAAAAACCATCGAATTATTGATTCATCTCAGGAAATAGGAGAGGAACGTTCCTGGATTTAACGCTTGATGTTAGTTATTTAAATATTAATAAATATGTTAAAATAGATGAACGCATCACTGTCCCTGTTTCCTACCTCAATTTTGATTATATGAATTTATTTTATCTATATGAGCCGGAAATGTTCTCAGATTGGATTCCATAGATCTGGTTTAACAGCAGGTTAGGCTGTTCAGCTAAATAAAAAGAATAATCTGCAAACCAGGAAACAGGAAGTAGAATCATCAACAGCAAAACAATCAACAGGAAATAACAGCAGAGGGAAGGAGGAGACTTCCAGCTCCCAGATGNAGTGGTTAGGGCATAGGGCTTTGAATCCTGAGATTGGGAGTTCAATCCCAGACTGCCACTCTGGGTCCCTGAGCAAGACCCTTAACCCCACACTGCTCCCTGGGCGCTGCATGATGGCAGCCCACTGCTCCCTGAGGGGAGGGGTTAAATGCAGAGATAAATTTCTCCAATGTGAGATTAATAAAGTTCTATCAATCAAAACCAGAATCAAATCTAATTTATTCAGGTGTTTATTTTTTCAACACCGAAGGAACTTTTTCTTCGTCTGCAGAAACTTGAATTACCGTTTTACTGGAACATGAATAAATCAACTGGACTTTTGGGTTTCGGTCACTTGATGACTGGTTCCGGACTGGTTGAGTCAGTCAGGATCCAGATCTTCCTCCAAGAACCGACAGCGTCCATGTTTGGAGGGTAGGAGGATCAGAATGATCAGATCTACGTTTAGTTGAACATAAAAGATGAATCGTGTGTTAATCAGTTGGATGGAAATGAATCGTTTCTTTTGAATCTTTTGGTCATAATGAAGGAAAAATAATAACTAATAATAGAAAAACTGCTGCAGCTGCAAATGTTGATAAAATACGTTTCTGTATGAAAATAAGAGCTTTAAAAGTCAGAATTCAACCAGGAATTATGAACCAAAGCATCAGATTGTTCAGTTAGAATCATTTATCACAGGAAAATGAACAAGTTGAGAAGAAATGACATGATGACACTGAAGCTGACCTGGATTACCTGCAGAACACCTGAGGAATGAGGCGGAGCGCCTGAATGGAAAAAGCTGAAACGCTGTGATGCAGTTTATTAGAAAACAGGAAGTGAAACGTTTAGTGATGCGATGGTGATTTATTGGTTAGAAAGCAGCTGAACGTAGATCAGATCAGATCAGCCTGATATTAAAATAAACGTCTCCAGGAATTCCAGCCTG